GTGTTATGGTCTAATGAAGATATATGGAATTAGTAAGCTTATGCAATATGTTTCATAAAGTTATATGTTTTTGAAACTTAAGTCAGTGAATTTTATCATTTCTCTAAAGCATTTAGAATAAAAAATATGTGACTAATAATTTTTCATGTGGGAAAATATGACTCAGATATGTCTTTTGTTTTAGGGCTCTTGTTCTAGAATGACTAGCTGTGGTAAATGTAAATTAGCTGGTCTATGTACAATTGCCTTTCACAAAGTAAAAATGGAAAAATCAAAAGGGAATTATATACAAAAACTGAGAAATCAAAAGGGAATTATATACAAAAACTGAGAAAGGTAACCATAAACTATTAATGAAACAGCAGAAAGTAGATGTTTAAACTAATGTGAACATGTAAATAAAATGAATTCAAATTAAAGATCATTTACATGGTAATTTTATTAATTATAGATGTCTCACATGATTATGTTAATTTAAATATGCTAATTCAATATGCATTTGAGACTATAAGTTAAGGAATATTACTTTTAAAAATATGGCTTCAGGAGATTGAGCCAAGTTATATTAGTGAACACTAGAAATGATCAAAAAGCAGGGAAAGGAGTATGTAGAGGAAAGTCTGCACCCAGCTGTGTTCTCCACCTGCCTGTCTCCTGTGTCTTGTGGAAATGCAGGTTACTATATCAGGGTCATCATCATGCATATTCCCACCAAATATCTTTCCTGGATATTTGAGTTAGTAAATCCCTTCCTAGATTCTAATGGAATCTAAAACAGTTCAGTTTAGCCCAACCAATGAAACCTGAAATATGGGAGCTCTTCCACCTGAGTCAGTGATTACTTTGGGTATGGCTGGCTGACTAATTAATGCAACCGGGCCCATTCCCAACCTTTCTTCCTGGACGGCTCCATCATAATGCCAGTTGTGAAAATAATACATTGTCCCAGACTTCCTTGTAAATGAAGATGTCCATATGATATATTCCTGGTCATTAGTAAACAGGAGTCTGCCAGATCATTTGATAAAGTTAGTGCTTTCTAATCGATGGGACTGACAAGGTCAGGGTTGGCATCTCCCTTTTCCCTTCTTGCTTTGAGTGTAGATGTTATGCTCTCAATTGAGTCAGCCATCTTGGAAGCAGGAACAAATAATGCTCACAAGAGTGATCAAGCCTTGGCTCCATGCAAAATCAAAGTATGTTATTATCTCCAAATTCCTTTGTATGTAAAGAATGTAAACGTTAACTTTTTAAGACAGTGATAGTTGGTTTTTCAGTTACAGAGAAAGATCCTATCTAATGTATCTGTTAGCAGGGCATCTGTTCACAGTCTATTGATTTTGTTTTATAGGTGAATATCTGTGAACATTTCTTTCATATACCTGACCTTAGAAATCACATACAAATGCAAGTTTCTCAAAAACTCAGGTTTGAGAACACACTGAACTTGGTTATTCTCTGCTTAAAGTATAAAGAAAAAAGAAAACATTGAATTCAGAACACTTGCTAAGTGAAAGAAAATAAAACCTCCAAAATTCACCAATATCCAGTATAATATTATTGAAATATTCTTAATAGCATAAGTGATACTGTTCTTATACCAGTAATCTATTTGGATCATAAATTTATCAAATATGTATATTTGTGTGTAACATGTGTTCACTATAAAGAGAATAACCTTCTTTCAGAAACACAGATCAATACTTGGGATTCAGAAGCCATTTCAGGATATATCAGAAACTATCAATTGTCAACTAATTGGAAGATTGTTTTTCTAAGTGAACAGCTATAAAATTCTAACTGTTTAAATCACTGTAATCATGTTATTTGTCCTGTTCTCTAGAGGAATCTTAAACAAAGCCTGCAGTGATTGCTTTGTTATTTCAAATCTGCCTAGTAATTTTCCAGTGTATTAAAAGACATTCAGTGTTGACACTGTTGGGGGAAGAAATTGGGAGTGTGCCTGATGGAACTGTTCATTTTCAGTCAACATAATTATTCTGTATTAACACATCTGCTATTTAAACAATATCACACATTCATTTTTTTTTCTTTGCTAATAATTAACTTGGTGATATCATACATCTTTATTCAACTTGAATAAATATCAAATTATTTCTATATTGTGAAAATTGTGCTAAGCCAAATGAAATGATTGGGCTTAAGCTATTGTCAGGCCCATAACTGAAATGCATGATCTCTCTTTAAAAAAAGAAAGCAAAACAAGGAGTCTAATTCTTAGAATATACAGCAATTTCTATAATATTGGAAAAATACCTTTCCCAAATCAATGAATGTAAAATATTTTTCCAAAGACTTTGAACCCTGTTTTATATCACAAAATGCTTAATCATTACCAAAGTCTGTCAAGATAATCTTCTTGCTCACAGTTTTAACTATTCTCTCCTTTCTCAACCCTTCAGAGCTGCCTGTCAGCTTTGGTATGAAATTTAAATTATTCTCACTGCTCCAGGGGCTTCCATCTGCCCTTGTTTGTGACTCCTATCTTAATTTCCCCTTTTCATACACTAGGGCCCTTGTCCTTCACAGGACTTTATATACTACAACATAACTGATTGCAAGAAGGATCCATTAAAAGCCAGAAAGCACAGAATTTGAACAAATTATATAACCTCCTTGAATCCTTTTTTTCTCCCCTGCATGGAAAAATATCAGGGGCCCTAACTAGATATTTTCCCCACTCCATCTTCCTGTTGTAACCACTTATCATTCTATGACTACTTTCAAATGAACTGCAGATTTCTCCTAGTTTCAAATACTTTGTCAGATACACCAGATAAAGAATCTGTGGGAGAATTTTTAAGTAGATCTGAGGTCCTGGAGAAAGATTTAGTATTTATTGAATATCTAATGGACAGATAAGATATCCAATAAATACTAAAGAAGACTTGCAAATGTCAACTAATAGAAAAACTAAAATAGTCAAGACCTATTTTTCTTGCTTATCCATTTGTGTTATATTATTATTTGGTATTTTATTGTTATTTTAATTTTTTTAACTTTATTTCTAATTTTAATTTTAATTTTATCATTTTTTATTTTTTTCTATTTTGTTTTCTGTGCTTTGTTTTGTTATTTGCATTAATGCTGTAATCAGGAGACTGTCCTCTGTAATAATGCCCTCAATTTCAGACCCTGACAATAAGAGGGTTATCATAGACTTCCTCCTTCCCAGGGCTTGTGGAGATCCCCAGGAGGAAAAAGAGTGAGATCCTTCATAATCCTCCTGTCCCAGCACTAGCGCTTCATGTCACAATCAATAGAAATGGATTTTTTTATCCATTGGGGATATAAAAATCAGCTATTCTTAGGTAGAGAGTTGGGAATTTAGAGGACACTGTGTTTTTTAGTAGTTACTTATGTTTGATATACCAGGTCCTCTTGTATTAGTTAGGGTTCTCTACAGGAACAGAACCGACAGAATATGTACATGTATGATTATTAGCAAGGATTTATTAGATTAGCCCACAGGATCAGAAGTGGGACAGTCCCACATAGCCATCAGCAGGCTGGAGAGTGGGAGGAGCTGTTCAGTGCTTAGTCAAAGAAGCTGGAAGTCTCAGAACAAGAGGGACCAGTGACACAGCTGTCATCTGAGGCTGAAGGCCTGAACATTCCCTAGAGAACTGCAGGTGAGAGTCTAGCTCCTTCACTGCACATTGGAAGATCAGCTAGAATCTGATGTCCACAGGAGATGGCAGCAATAATGTAGCCACCAGCTCAACATGAGTCAAGCTATATATATATACTTTGCAACTTTCTCCTGCTGCTTTGTATCCCACCAGGGCTCTCAGCCTATTGAACAGTGCCAACTGCATACTCAGCTGCACTCCCCTCTCCCAATTTGCTGTTGCACATGCTAATCATCTCAAAATGCATGCATAGATGTACCCAGAAGTCTCTTAATCCTAGGAATTTCCTAGGTATCCCTTGATCCAATCACACTGATAATCCACATTAACCCTCATTCTCTCCTCATATTCCCTTTTGAATTCATCCAGTGAGAAGCTACTCTTAACAAGGATGATAATGACTGCTACATTGCTGAATAGAAGAGGTATGTTTCAGTCTCTCAGCATATCAGGAATATTTGAACTACTTGAACATTGCTTTCTCTTGTAATTCATTTTCACCTTATTTTCCAGGACACAATTACCTAATTTACTTCCATTCTTACCGAGAGATGTTCTTACTCCTCTTGGCTGGTTCTTGGTCATTTTTCTGACCTCTGACTGCTGGAACGTCTCAGGGCTCAGTTCATCTATTTCATTCTTTTTCTTCCATTTTTTTATTCTCATGATAACCTTATCCAGTTTCAGAGCTTTAAATATAATCACCATTTTTCATCTATATTCTAGACATCTAAGGTTCATATTAAAATCCTGTTAATGTCTAAGAGGCCCTTGATATCTGTAAACATCTAAACGTAACATGACCACAGTCAAGTACTTTACAATTCCTCTAAAACAATTCCATTTGGTCTTCCTAACATCAGAAAAGGAAGGTAAATTCCTTTTTTCCATTTTTCTTACTTTGCTCAAACCAAATACTCTGGAGTTATAATTTGACATATTTTCTTCATTTTCATTTACAACCAATGTGTCAAAAGATCATGTTGTTGCTGTATCAGAATGTATCAATAGCTGGAACCTCACATCTATTTCACCTCTAGCTCCCTCGTCCAAACCCCAATCTCTCACCATGCCATTGAAGTAACCTCCCAGCTGATCTGTTCCAGCTGGAACAAGACATGCCCTAAAAGGCCTGAGCCCCCTGTCTGAATATATTCCTGCAAATAACTGTCTGGCTTCCTCCTTTACCCCATGTCCTGGAGAAGGCGTCAGTATGATGGTCAATTTTATGCATAAACCTACCTAGGCAATACTGCCCTGTTGGTTGGTCAAACAAAAGTGTAGACATTGCTGTGAGGATATTTTTAAGATGTGTTAATTAGCAGACCCAGAGTACAATGGGAAAAAGTGGGTGGGCCTCATGCAATCAGGCTGGGGTTTCCTCGAGAAGAAGAAACACTCCTCAGGATTTCACATAGAAACAATGCCTGTTTCTAATCTGCAGAAGACTGGACATTAACTCATATGAATTTCCAGTCTGCTGGCCTCACCTAGACGATTTGGACTGCCAGCTCGAAGTACATGTGAGCCAATTCCTTAAAATAAATCTCTCATCTGTTTTCATCTGTCGTGTGTGTGTGTGTGTGTGTGTGATCTATTCTACATGTATATATGATATAAATAGGTTATATATCTGAGCCAGCCTGGATTAAAAGGGTGGGGAAAGGGTAAAATGAAAAAAATGTTGTTGAAGTTTCACAACTTTGGTAGAACACAGGCTGATATGACCACTCAATTGCAAATATGTGCTATCCTTCAGGAATGAAAAAGGACTTGAATGGGTGCTGCAGGCCTAGAGGTCAGAATCCAGAGCTCAGAGGGTAGAGGTACCCACCCAGAGATCAGAAGTACCCACTCAAAGGGCACTTCTGAGCCACAGAGGCCTTGCAAACTAAGAGCTTCCATGGGTGAATTGTGATATTGCTTCTGACTCCTAATTTCCATGTTGTTTTTCCTTTTAGAATAGGAATGCCTATTAACTATTATTCTACAGCTGTTCCACCATTTGTATATGGTGGAACATAACTTGTTTTCTAGTTTTCACAGGTCTGGAGACGGAGAAGAGTTTTGTCTCAAGATGGATCATACCCAGCGTATCCCTCAAACCTGATTTAGACAAGGTAGATAATGAGATTTGGGAGTTCTGGGCTGATGGTATGGTAGTAAATTGTTATAGCAGCCACAGAAAACAAATACAGGAAGGACTACTCTGTTTGAAATTGCAAAGTTCTCCTCCGATGCTCTCTATATCTCCTTGTTTTCTTTCTTCCATTTGTGTCTACATAAGATATGCATTTACATTATTTTAAAATAAAAGACTGATAAACATTCTTTTTTACTTCTTTGTTAGTTATGTGTCCCCCATGCTATTATGATTTAAGCTTCATAAGAGCTACAATTTGTGTCTATTTTTGTTGGATTTTCAGTGCTGTGCCTCCTGTGCGACTGGTATATAACCAGTGCTCAGAATTTTTTTTGAATAAATAAATATTTTACTTTTCTATATCATTATTCAATTTTCCCACTCATCCATCCTTCTATATTTCATACTTCTATCTATCCACCTATCTCTCTCTCCATTAATACATCTAACACTCTTGGTAACTATTATTTTAGTGCCAGGATTTATGCAGGGTACTTAAAGTTAAGAAAGCATTAGTTCAAATCATAGAGTTTTATGTTGTGTTTTTTTTTTTATTGTTGTTGTTGTTTTATCTTTGTTGGGAAAACAGACAATAGTTGAGCTATGAAAACACTGTCATGATTCTGGTTAGTGAAAAACAAAGGATGCCTTAGCAGCAAATTAAAAGATCGTCTAATCTAGAAGTCTTCAGGGAACATTTATTTCCTCATTATCTAAACCTACAGTATCATCTCTCTTACCTATGGATCACGGAAATCTCTTATAAATAGTTCTCAAACTCACTTCTGATTCTATCACAGTGACAAATGAGCATTTGCAAGGGAATGAACATTGGCTTTTAAATTCATTTTCAGCCTCACACACCCACCGTAATCTTTAGCGAATAAAAGACAGGTGGAGTTGAACTGTTCTCTCAAACCTTCATTTTAATTCTCCAGTACCAATGGCTACTTCAAAACACACTATTAAAGAAAATACTTTTGATTTTTTGAAGGCAAATATTCTTAGATAAGTAAGGTATGCATTTTTTTTTCCTTAGTGTTCAACATTTTTTTCTTACTGTGAAAAAAGATAAAGAGGAAATAAAGGCAGAAGAGGTGATATAGTACAGGGAGGAAGAAACAGGAAGAGAAAGGCTGCAGCATTATTTTAAAGGCAGCTTAGAGTGTGACTTTAGAAAGTCTTGCTGAGGGTCCCAAATCTGACACATGAGAGTTTAAAAGATTCAGATTAGTTGCTTCAGGTATCTATGCCTTAGTTTCTCATCTATGAAATTAATTCAATAACAATTTCTTTGCCTACCCATAGGTGTATCATAAAAATCAAATAAAAGCATGTGAAGAAACTGAAATTTTTAACTGCTTCACAAATAGTAATTATTATTCATGAAGATATTTTATTGAGATTCACTCATGTGCCAATTAACATTTATGGTTATTTCAAAGTCACAGAAGAATCTGTGATTTGCCATAGTCAGAATTGAGAACCTTAAACTCTATAGACATTCTTCTTGCAGATAATGGGAACAAATGTGTGGTTTTCAACACAGAACAAAAATAGAATAGTAGTGAATTTCAATGGCATAAAAGAGGTCTTTCATACATTGGAAAGTACTCAAATTTTTTTTTGGATAATGGAGAAATTCAATGCCATACCCACAGGCAGTGGGGGAAATTTTCTTAGTCGTGTGATAACAGCAAGCGGTTCTTTTGAACCTGAAGCTAGTTTTCACTCTGTAGTTATTGCCTTTCCTGAGTAATGAGTAGCAAGATCTCTTTCCCATCTGGCATTCAGTGGCTTAGAATAGCAGCAGCATAAGGTGAAATGTCACTGCTAAGACACAGTGGTTTATGCCATTTGTACAATCTAATCAGACTTAAACATGCATGGGGGCCTCATATCCCAGAAAATATTTACTGCAAGAGGATCTTGATAAATATCGTAGTATGAAGATATTAAAGCCAGAAAATCAGGTTTGTATCCTGTGTGTACTAATTGCCTATGTTACTTCTTCTTTCTTGATTTTCCTTATTTATAAAATAGAAATAATAACTTCTACATTGCAAATTTCTTTGAAGACTCAAGAGCATGTGTATGGCTTTTGAATTGTAAAATATGCCATATAGAATTTAGCAATTACTGCCATTTTTTAGAAAGGAAAATAACTAAACAATCTCCCCCACCCCACAATGACAAAGGGAATCTTCCTTAATGAAGTCATGCTGCACAGCAGCCACTAGCGTTACCGAATCTATCAGTGGTGTGGTAACAGTAATCAAAACTACCTTAAGGTGGTCTCAGTAATTTTCACAAAAAGACATGTGAGAAAATATTGTGAAAACATCTTTGTGCTGGTAAAAACGTACCAAAGAGGCTTCAAGTCCATTTGGGGGCCCAAAGTCAAGTGACAAGTGAAGGAAAAGGAAATGGCAAGAGGACAATTCTTAGGGCATCTGAACAGTAGAGGATGTTGGGAATTCTAACTCACTGTAAAGAAAAGGACACTTCTTCCTCAAAGGCTCTAAGCTAACTGAAATAAGAGTCTCATTTTGACTGCTAAAAATAAAAAAAAAACTAAAAAAAGAAAGAAAAATTCATTTAAAAAAAAATGCCCCAAACCCTAGAAACAAACACACACAAACAGAACAGTTTCTCTTTCTTTAACCTTCGAGAAGCTGGCAAGGGGAATTTGCCTGCAGCAGGGGTTGACTTACAACCCTGGAGGTTTAGGGATTGAAGGGATCTGTGGTCATCAACATAAGAAGGAAATAAGCCTGAGAATTCCCAGATCCCATGTGTTAAAAGAAGACTGAAAGCAAGAGTTCTAATGATACTAGAGCACTGGGAAATAGATCTCTTAAATCCTGTGGGCATTCAATGGCACTTAGCTAAGAGTCCTGACATCCACACCCAGCCACATGGAAGTGAGGAAAGAAAATGAAAACCTGCCAACAGAGGGGATCCTGGGGAATAACTGTTGGCAACCTCTGGCAGAGCTGAGTGTTCCCTGATGTCACCACTGCTTGGTGCTCAGGGGTCTGGGCTCTCGCCATCACAGTACCAGGATGTCCAACCTGGATTCCATGTTTATTGACTACCTGTTCTTGGGTGACTTAACCTGAGAGGAGATTTTAGTAACCACTGGTCCCTCAGAGGGTTGTTTTGACAGATACCTGAAGCATTTAAAGGCTGAAAACAACACCTAGTGTAAAATATAAACACTTTTATAAACAGTGAATGACAGTCACCATGACCTTAACAATTATCACAACTGCTATAATTATCATTGTCATCATTAGTACTGTTATTTGTCCTGCATAGAGAACTGTTTCTCCAAAGAAGTCAGAGCAGGGGAAGAATTGAAAGTTTCTGTCATCTGACAAAAAGTTCTCTTTTTACAGAGCCTTTCAAAATAGTTCAATCCATAGAATATCACTGATGTAAAGAAAAGCTGTATTATTTAATGAAGGGGACAGACAGTTTTGTTCTTATAATTAATAGTAACAAAAACAGCATGCACTTATTCAAGAAAGATCCAAAGAATTCAAAGATTCAAGAAAGATTATTATCAGAGACACAGGGGGCTGCCCAAAGTTTAGGGAACCGTTAGCGACAGATACGACATTTTCTACTGCCTTGTGGCAGTCATTTTGGAATACTAGACTCAAAGGAAAGTTCTTACTTAGGAAACAAAGATGAATCTCACAGTAATGTGTGTGTTGACTATCCAGTAAAATGTGCAGGCTTGGGGTGAGGAAAGTGGGAACAAATTTTACAACACCTGAGAAACCTCCAAATGCTGAGACTTAATAACCACATGGAAGAGACTTGAAATTCAGGATAGGAATGATTATGACAGGAATGTGTACCTAATGACCATCTATTAAACCCTTTATGTGGAACAGGTAGATGGTGTGGTACCAGGCGACTATGATACCTCCAGCAATCATAGAAGAGGGGCTTAACCTCATATTACAGATGAGGAAACTGAGGAACAGTTTAATGGTATCCTTGCAGATAACCAAATGATCACAAGAACTTACAGTCTTCTCTAGTCTTCTCAAAATCCAAAGTTCCCACAGTGTGAAGCCTCCTGGAACCCTCCACACCAGTCATGCCGTCTGCTGTTTACCTTGGGGAGCTCCCTCAAGCCTCATAAGCCAGGAAGGGAGATACTGTCATCCATCATTGACATGTCACAGGTGAGAGGACTGAGGCCACATAGAACCCCAGAAAGTACACTTGGCTTTCCTTAGGAGCAACACAGTAAAAACTGTATAACAGCTTTTGAATTTCAGGCAGCAAGAAATGCCTTCCCTCCACTGCCAACTGAATACAGAGCCCATCTTCTTTCAGCAAGGAAACCTGCTCTTTGCCAGGGAAGCAATATGTGTGACGACTGAGCACCCAAGCTCTAAAGTAAGTCCGCCTGCCTCTAAAGCAAGGTCCTATCTCTCACTGCCTATTGAACTTGGGAACTTTGGTTGGTAGCCTCCAACTCCTCATCTGAAAAAACAATGACCTCTCAGGGTCATTAGGTCATATTAAAGCATAGGAATAATGACTGGGACATGATAAGCTCTGGAAGACATCATTGCAATTGTTGACCTGGAAGATACTAAAATATATATTTTCAGTGTGCTCTGTAGACCACTTCCTCAGAATCTCACTGGACCTGGAACATTAGATTATGCTCAACAGTCCATTCTGATTCAGTAGATCTAGAGTGTGACCTGAGGATTTACTTCCCAAGGGGAGCTGATGATGCTGGACCAGGTCAACCACTGAGTGGCAAGGACCTGGGGTACTTTATTAGCTGCCCATTCACGGGATCTGCTTTAGACCCACCAAGTCAGTAACCCTGGGGAGAAAACCCTGGAGACTGAATGTTTAACTTTCTCTCAGAGAGATTCTAAGGCATGCTAACACTTGAGAAGGCCTTGAGAGAGGCTTCCGTTGGTTCTATTAACATTATTTGACAGTTCAATTCACTGGAGATACAGCCTGATCGAATTCCTGATTCATCATCATGACTTCAGGGTAAAATGCTTCTGATGCTAAGACACCCTCATCCTTTTCTGTAACAGAGGTAATGAGTCAATTTTCCAAACAGGGTAAGTAGATAATCCTTCTCAATTTACTAACATAATTCATTCAATATTAAGAAGCATGAGGAAAGGCATCCATTTTGCAAGCTCAACTAAGCAGTAGTTTTCTAGCACAAATATTAGGGGCAATAAAAAATTTCATTTGAGGTTGCCAATTTGAGTTAACATTTTTCTATTTTCCATTGATGATTTCTCTCACCACCCCAGTTCTTGCAGATTTTCTGGAGATAGCATCATTTTAAAAAATGTCTTTTCGTTTGATACTGTATAGTTTAAACTTGCTGTTTACTAAAAGGACATAGGGGTTGGGATCCAAGGACAAACTGAACAATCAATCTTCTGGTAAGGCAGTGACCAGGGCTGCTCATAGGGTGGTCAACTCCACTAGTTTATCCAGTACGGTCTCAGGTTTAGCACTTAGGGTCCCAGGATTTTGAGAAACCTTTCAGACCTAGGCAAACAGGGACAGTTGGTTACCCTAGCATAGACACAACAATAAGCTTTCTACTGAGACTTAGTGTAAATCGGATTCAGTTGCCTTTATTTTGCCTTTCCTCAAATTTGGGATTCCAGAGAAGAAGAATTTCAAAGGATTAGCTTGAGTCAGGTGTCTACTCCTAACCAAATCCCCTCCCCTCCCCTACCATAGCTATGGAGGGCCCACCATTGTGAAATAGAGACCAGTTCCTACAGAAGATAGGATCTAGGCAATGACTCCATAGACTGTCTACTGCACCTCCAGAAGTAGCTATGATTACTTTGGTGCATTTCTTTCTCAAATGCACCAGAAATCAACAATCCACTAAAATCAACCACACTTCACTACATCCCAATACAGTGATTGGTTGTGACAGAAAACAACTAAAATGTCACAGGCATCCATTAAGCAATATTTCATGGAACTGATACATACATACATACATACATAAACATATATATACAGATAGTTTTATTGGAGGAACCCTGTAATGTAAAGTTCCATTTCATCCATTTACAGACAAGGAAGCTAAAATTTTAAAGGTAGGAATTGAATCAATATTTTATGGCTCTAGACAAGTTGTTAAGTCCCTAATCCCCTTTCTTTCTTTTCCTCCCTTCTTTCTCTCACCTACTCTAAGTCTCTTACTATATATGGTCATACTGTGATACAGTCTCATAGACATTGTCTTGTATATATTTTTATTGCCTTGAACCCAATTGTGTGCTGTTAATATTTAAGATTTTCCATATAAAGCTCAGAGAGAATAAATGAGGAGGCTAAGTTGCACATTCGGTATGGAGAAGTCTTTGATGCTGCAGATTAAATCCAGATATTCTAATTCTATATCTTATTCTCCTATCATATCATCCATCAGACTTTTGAATGCTCCTTAAATTTGCTGATTAACACAGAAAGAGGAAATTTGACCCTGTTTTTACATTGGCAATAACGGTGATAGAGTTTCTTCTCTGGACAAAGCATCTGGTAAGCACTTGACATGGTATTACCCTCAGACAAAGAAACTCAGTCAGTCATGGGATGTTAAGTACTTTCCCAAAACCATGCAGCAAAAAAAGGGAGCAAAGTCAGCTAAAATCAAGATTCATCTGTCCTGAAAGTTCTCATTCTTTGCAGTTTGCCAATTGTATCAATGCAGTCAGAGCAGGACTGAGTTACATGTCCACCAGTCTAAGCAAGTTGTATGTTGAGACACTGTCTCACTGTGTTGAGACAATAGTTCTTGGCCATGCTTTTACTCATATTTATGAATACAATTATATCAAACACTTTGGCCTAATTATCATATCCATCTCCTACCTACCTATATGGTTTCTTACTCTATAATTCTTTAAATCTAATTATTCTTTAAAGTCATGAGCTAGTAACATTAGAGCTTGTTAAAAAAATTTCAAAACACATTAAAATAAATATTTAAAAATTGACTTACTATCTATGGCAAGGTTCAGACAACTAAACATTATATAAAATGGTGATTTGTCTACTATTGAGTTTTCTTTGTCAATTTTCCTAAAAGAAAAGGTTATTTGATTTTTTTCTCATAATATCATTTTGTAAATCCAAATAATTTAAATCACGGAGTTTAGTAGACTTCTGGTCTAGGGCAATATTATATTTATTGCTTTCATTTTTGAGTTGTCCTTTGGACATGTTTGAATCAATTTTCAAGAAAAACAGGTTTTGCTTGGTAAGGCCCTTGTTTGTGGATAAGTTAGCCTGTTCTACTCTGTGGCCTTACATAGATTTGCTGTTCTCTGATTATGCTGGGCAGTTCTCTCATTATACCCATATAGCTGGAGCAGTTGTTCACTTACAAAGTTATATTTAATTCATTTATGGGACTATGGCATTATTCATGAATTTGCAGATTCCCAAAGATCTCAAGATGTGTTCTATAAGAACTTTAAAGATACCTCTTCATGCTTCCCTCTCAGTTCACCCAGGGCTCTAGGTGGTCCTGATTTTTTCCACATCTTCTCTGATGAAACATTTCAAAATGAACTAAATTCTGAATTTGATCATCTTTTGTGGCTTTTGCACACATCCTCTTTGGTTATGTGAAAAAACATATCTATTGTGCCCAACTTTTCCAGTCGCTCTCCTTCCATCATACTAAGTCTACTTTATAAAAGAAATCTTTCATTTAGTGGAGTCTAGGTTTTTCTCTTTGCTACCATCTTCATTTCCCACGGAATGAAACAGGTCTCAGCTTATGATCATTTGTCATCTGCTGCCTCTTCTCCTGGACCCCCCCTAGTAGCCTGACGGAGGACTGGGCTCAGTTCCATGATCTCTTTTAATTCCTTGTTGGCAGCTTGCCGGCCCTTTTGCTTTACCTTCCTGCCAGGTTTAATGCCGTTCAGCATGCCAGCTCTGGCTTTCAGAATTTTTCCAAAATGAGATGAAACATCAAATTTCTAGCTCCCAATTCTCTGTAACAAATGCTTTCAGATAATCCTTCACCATCATTCACTCTCTCAATTCCTCAAAGTCTGAGCCTTTTCCTCCATAAAGAAACCTCATAAAACAATCAGAAATGACTTCCTCTTCAGAAAAAAAAAAAAAAAAACAAAACCTTATCAGATATTGGGGAATGATAGGACTAGAAAACAGTAGAAGTATAAACAATACGAGATAGGCTCACTCATGCAAAGAAAGTCACACAAGCTGCCAACAGCCCTAATTCCTAATTCCAGACCCATCTCTTCTAGAATATGGGCAGATGGAAAAAGCTAGGTTATGCTGGGTTGGCATATGGTGGTCTCCAAACATGGTTAATCTCAAATGAAAATGCCAAAGGCAAGTGACATAGAAGACTGTAGGAGGTTATCCTTCACTGCTCTATAGAGACAGGGAATTACTTCTCAAATAGTATAATCTATGAACTCGTACAAATATACACAGAAACAAAAGAATGTTTACTAATTCTTATGTTTATTAATTCTTATTGTTTATTAATTATGTTTATTAATGCTTGTTGGTCTCAGTAGCCTATTACCTAATATGACAATAAGATGGCTCCATTTTATCCCTGATAAACCCACCTATATACTGATTTTGATTCTCCTATGATGTAAATTTGACTATGTCAAAGTCCTGCCTAACCATCCATCAGTGACTTAGAGCAAGAGCAGAAGTACCTCACAAAGCATTTTGAATGACTGGCAAGAGCTGTTACAGGAAAAGTACAGTGTGCTTTAAATCACACAGCCATTCTGATGAGTCTAAGTTCAAGATCACTAACACAAGAGCGTCCTCAATACTGCCTGCCATTGGGCCACATTACTGTAGCATTCACTTCCCCCAATTTCCTAAACAATGGGTTCATGTTGCTGAGGTTAAACACATTAGTATCATTATTGTCTTCTCTAATAACTTATATCCAGTCTGAGCTAATCCTGTCAAAACAAACTTAAAGGTATTTTCAAAATCCAATACTGTTTACCACCTCTACTGCTTTTGTTCTGAGTCTTGCTCATCTCAATTCTAAATTATTGCTGTAACTTTCCATCTGTTCTCCTTGCTTACAGCCTCGTCCCCTTGGACCTCTTTACCTAAGAGCCAGGTCAGTTCTATGCAAACACAAGTCAGACAACATCATTCCTCTGGTCCAAACCTCTCATGGCTTACAGTCTCAGAGTAGAAGCCAAAATTGCTCAAAGGCCTAAAAAGCCTTGCATGTCTGGTCCCCACTTCCCCCTCTGACTTTTCTTCCCCCATCTCTCTTCCCTCCATTCATTCTCTGTCCTAACTCTTCTCAAAGTTACAAAGCATTCTCTTGCCCCAGGGCCTATGCCCCTACTGCTGTCTCTGCATAATCATTACCCATCACATAGCCCACATCTGCATAGTTTGCTCTCTTGTCTTTAGTTTTTACCAGAAAGTCGTCCTTCCAGGGTGAACTTACTTAACGGTAACACCTGTTTCTAGACTAACCCCTGCTTCACTTGTCCCTGTCTCCACTGCATGTGGAGCCATAATTCATTCTTGTCTTGGTCAGCTTCGGTTGTCACACCAAAATAACACAGAATGAGTGGTTTAAGCAACAGGAATAGATTTCTCATGATTTTGGATATGGATTAGTAAAATCAAGTGCTAGTTGACTCAGTCCCCTAATATGGGCTCTATTCCTTGCTTATAGATGGCCTCCTATTCTGTGTCCTCACATGAGAAGGAAAGAGACAGCTGGTCTTTCTCCCTCTTAGAAAGACACTAAACCCAATATGGGGGCCTTATCCTTGTGACCTCACCAAATGACCTCCCAAAGATTCCCCTTCTAAATACCATTGCATTAGAGGTCATGACTCTTTTGCTGCAATATTTCTTATGGTCTTTAATTTCACAATATGGTCTGTGCATCCCCTGGGGGTGGTTGAGCAGATAAAATGCCCAATCTTTCTCATACATGTTGAACCCCTGGGTTGTCATAGCATCTTTTGGGATGTATTCCTTAGATCCCTGCTCATTGTAATATGGTTTGTGGAACAGTAGGAATTCACAAATTATTTATGACTTGCCTGCATTGAGAAAAATATAGAAATTGAGAGTCAGTATTTAGAAAATGCTATAGCTGTTTGCATTACTGGCCAAAGTATTATAAATGGGCTTTCACGTTGCAGTTTCTTTCTCATTTCATATTTCTAGTATTCATCTTTATTGTGTTTTACAATAATATTAGTTCATGAGAGATTGAAAATAAATAATAATAATAATAATAATAATAAAATCTGGCCCTGGACTGGGAATGTATCTCAGTGGTAGAGTTCTTGACAAGTAGGCAATGAGGCTCTGGGTTTGATCTCCAACACCAAAATTTTTTTTAAAAAAATAGCCTTTACCACATATAATTAAGAAGTTCTTCCTTAGTGCAGTCTTTAGGAAAACATAGATTGTATGCTGAATGGATAAAAACACTTTAAGATTCATCCATGACTTTTCACTTTTGGGTGCCTTTCCTGACCTTTCCCCTCTGCCCCTTTACTGAGTCAACCTGCTGTTCATTCTCATCCTTCCCCAGGATGCTCATCTGTTTGCTATGCCTTTCCCAACTCATATGCCTGGGCCATTTCTCTCTACCCTTCAAAATTCAGATCCAAGGTTAATGTCTCCATAAAGACCCCTAGACTCTTTCACACAGACCTGGATGGCTTCTCGTTTTCTTCCACAGCTCTCTAGTAAGATGATCCACAGATTGATGCTCACTACATCCAACTATTGTTGGAGCATATTGCTCACTACAAACTATTGAACCCCTGCAGTATGAAAGGACCCATGGTCTCACTTCTAGACATAAATACATCTAAATCCTTGCCCTTGGGAGTTCATTCTCTGATTCACACTCTACTAGGGAATTCACTTACTAAGCAATTTATTGGATATTCAGAATTTATTTTTAACAGCTTGATTGAGCAATAATTTATATCCCATCAAATTCATGTATACAATTCAATTTCAATGTTTTATGTACGTATTCACCATCATAAAATCTAGAGCATTTTTTATCATCTCCCCAAACCGGTTCCCATTTGCAGTCATTCACTTTTCTCTCCAACCTCACACTTCATCCCAGGGAAACTACCAATCTACTTTCTTTCTCTGCATATTTGCCTGTTTTAGACACTCATGTAAATAGGATCATAAAATATGTAATGTTTTTTTCTTATTTTATTTCACTTAGCACTACATTTTTCAAGGTTTAAATATGATGAAAAATGTTTTCTGGTATTTTATTGAGAAGTTTTATGCCTATACATATAAGAGATATTAGTCTCTAGCTGTCTTACAATTTTTTTTGTTTTTCTTCTTTTAAAAAAGTTTTGACTTGTTATATATGACAACAATGCATTACAATTCATTTTACACATATAGAACACAATTTTTCATATCTCTGGTTGTACACATCCTTTGTGTCTTCTTACATGTACTTAGGTTAATGATGACTATTGCATTCCACTATCTTTCCTACCCCTATGCCCGCTCCTTCTCCCTCCCTCTCCTTTTTCCCTTTGCCCCATCTAGAGTTCATTTAATCGTGCCACCCCTCCCACACACCCAGAATATTGTGGATCAGTTTTCTTAAATCAGAAAAATCATTTAGTATTAGATTTTTGGGGATTGGCTAATTTCACTTAGCATTATATTCTCCAGCTTCATCCATTTACCTGCAAATGCCATGATTTTATTCCCTTTTAATGCTGAATAATACTCTGTCGTGTATATATACCATATTTTATTTATCCATTCATATACGAAGGGCATCTAGGTTGGTTCCACAGTTTAGCTATTGTGAATTGTGCTGCTATAAACTTTGACGTGACTTATCCCTGTAGTATGCTGTTTCTAAGTCCTTTGGGTATAGACCGAAGTGTGGGATAGCTGGGTCAAATGGTGGTTCCATTCCAAGTTTTCCAAAGAATCTCCATAATGCTTTCCATATTGGCTGCATCAACTGCAGTCCCACCAGCAATGTATGAGCGTGCCTTTTTCCCCACATCCTCACCAACATTTATTGTTTGTATTCTTAGTAGCTGCCATTCTGACTGGAGTGAGATGAAATCTTACAGTAGTTTTGACTTGCATTTCTCTAATTGCTAGCAATGTTGAAACAGTGGTACAGAATAGAGGACACAGAGACTAACCCACATAATTACAGTTATCTTATATTTGACAAAGGCACCAAAAACGTACATTGGAGAAAGACAGCCTCTAAAACAAATGATGCTGGGAAAATTGGAAATCCATATGCAGCAAAATGAAACCCCTATCTTTTACCATGAACAAAATTCAAAGTTGATCAAGGCCCTAGGAATTAAACCAGAGACACTGTGTCTATTAGAAGAAAAAGTAGGCCCAAATCTCCATCATGTCGAATTAGGCCCCAACTTCCTCAATAAGATTCCTATAGCACAAAAATCAGTATCAAGAATCAATAAATGGGATGGATTCAAACTAAAATGCTTCTTCTCAGTAAAAGAAACAATCAGTGAGGTAAATAGAGAGACTACTATTTGGGAACAAATTTTTACCACAAGCACATCAGATACAGCACTAATCCCTAGAATATATAAAGTACTCAAAAATCTTAACACCAAAAAAACACAAATAACCCAATCAATAAATGGGCCAAAGAACTGAACAGACACTTCTCAAAAGAGGATATACAATCAATCAACATATATGTGAAAAGATATTCTTGTAATATTTTCACCTTACTTTGATATCAGGGTAATGCTGATTTCTAAAATAGGTTGAAAAAATGTTCTCTCATCCTCAATTTTTGAAAAAGTTTGTAAAACAAATTCTGATTCTTCTTTAAATGTTTGATAGAATTTGCCAGTGAAGATTAAATTAGAAATTTTAAAATCTCCCATAACTAATCTCTTTACTTGTTGTAGGTCTATTTAGAAATTCTATTTCATTTACAGTAAGTAATTTTTCTAGATTTTTTGTTATGTCATCCAGGCTACCCAATTTATTACATACAGATATTCACAGCATTCCTTTGTGATCCATTTTTATTTCTGAAAGATCAGTAATATTGTCTGTTCTCATTCTTGATTTTATTAATATGTCTTCTTTATTTTTTTTCATAAAACTAATTAGTCAAATATATTCGAACAACAGATTTGAATTGATTTTCTCTATTGCTTTTGTATTCTCTATTTTATTTTCTATTTTTTTTTAAATTCTATTCCTTCTGCTTATTTTGCATTTATTTCCTTTTTTGTATAATTCCCTAAGTTGGCAAGTTAGGTTATTGATTTGACACCTTCTTTTTATAATATATGGACACAGATTTCCTGCTAAGTACTATTTTAATTGTATCCCATAATTTTTGGAACGTTGCAACTTCATTTTCATTTATCTCAAAATAATTGCTAATTTTTCCTGATTTTTGACCCATTTATTATAAATAGGATTTTTATACTATTTATTATAATGGTATAAAACCTGATTCTGGAATTTACTAGATATGCGACATTGAGCAATTTGCCTGCCTGATCCTCTGTCTTCTATTCTGGAAACCAGGCATGCACATCTATTTCTCAGGATTGTTGGTTTAAATATGATAAGATGTCTGGCACATAGTAGGCATACTCCAGAAATGATAACTTAAAACATGCAAATAACAATAGTCCTATTTTCTCCTATTCTTGAATTTCTGAATTTTATTTCTATTATTTTTCATTCGATTCCATTGTGGTTAGAAAATATTCTTGGAATGATTTAAATTCTTTTACATTTACTGAGTCTTGTTTTATGGCATAGCATATCATCTATCTTGGGGAATTTCCATGTGTATTTGATAACAAAGCATATTCCTTGGTTTTCTGATGGAGCATTCTATAGACGTCTGTTAGGCCTAATTAGTTTATAACATTGTTTAAGTCCTCTGTGTCTTTTTTCATCTTTTGACTAATTGCTTAGAAATTATACTTAATGTAATAATTATATATTTAATGCATCCATCTTACTTCTAAATTTCTCATAAAAGAAATGTGAGAGATATCCTTCTACCATTAGGGAAAAAATGACTATTTGGAATTCCTGTGATTAAATATTTTGCTGGAGAATGTGAAGTAGCCAAATTTCTTCACTTAAGAGCTCTCTGAAGATTCAATTTGAAAAAAAAAAAAAAAAAAAGTTTGGTGATTAAAGCCACAGGGGGCCATGCCAGCTCTTCTTTCCTGCTGTGAGTACGGCCACCTTGGGTATACACAGAAACACAGAAGAAGAATATTGCTGCTTTTTGCAATTTTAGGAGAATATGTCCATTTATTTAGTTATTCATAAGCATTGACTTGAATGTCTACTATGAGCCAAGAACTCAGACAACCCAAAATAATTCTTATACTTGATTTTACTACAACATAAAATTTAAAAATCAGATAGTCACTCCCATTAATGGCAGTTGACATTTTCAGGAGTTGCAGGAAATCTGAAATAAAGCTAGATTAAAAATGCTTTCCTGCAGGGCATGGTGGCACAGGCCTGTAATCCCAGCAATTTGGGAGGCTGAGGCAGGAGGATTGTGAGTTCAAAGCCAGCTTCAGGAAAAGCAAGGCACTAAGCAACTCAGTGAGACCCTGTCTCTAAATAAAATATAAAATAAGGCTGGGGATGTAGTACTCAATGATCAAGCGCCCCTGAGTTCAATCCCTGACACCCCACCTCCAAAAAAGAGAATCGCTTTCCTTCCCCAGGCTTCCCTTCCCCGGTATTCCTTTCCCTATCTTAATCAATTATTGACCTGTCCAAAGGGATTATTTAATCCATACTCCAATCTATGAGCTCAACTATGCTGCTGTGTCTAGGGTAATGCCCAGTGTCATGGAGACCACACAACCTTCCAACTTGCCCCCATCGCACCGGCTCACTGTGTTGCTATAGGAAACTCTCTCTATACAGACAAATCTGAGAATTAAACCTGATTCTGGAATTTACTAGATATGTGACATTGAGCAATCTGCCTGCCTTCTCTTAGTCTGATCCTCTGTCTTCTATTCTGGAAACCAGACATGAGCATCTATTTCTCAGAGTTGTTGGTTTAAATATGATAAGATGCCTGGCCCATAGTAGGCATGCTCCAGAAATGATAACTTAAAACATGCAAATAACAATAGTTGTCTCCTTGCTCTGTGTTCTGGTCTTTGCATTCAAGATCTCTGGTAGGAGCTGAGTCTCATTCCAAAACCAAACCTGCTGACTTGGCCCCTCATATGAGCAACTAGCATTATTCTTTGGGGCATGAGAGGTGGGGTGGGCTGCTCACTGATCCTTGCCCTCTGGCCATCAGCTAGAATTGTGTTGTGAAAAAACTGACTACCAGTCATTACTGTCCTTCCCTCAAGTACACCTAGCTCCTTTATATGTTACCAGCTGCCCTGGGGATATGTCTTTCCTACCTCTAATGCTTTCTTCTTTCCCCATTTGTTCAGGTTGCTAAAATCCCCAAATCCCTCAGGACTCATTTCAACCAAATTATCAACAACAAACACTGAACTTCAAGGTCTTTTCCACAATGCCCACAAAATGCCATGGATCCATCTAATCTGCATCAAGATACTTCAGGGAACTCTCTGTGACTCAATCCTGACCCGAATGGCCCCCTAATCTAGGCCAGATGGCAAATTGACCATTAACCTCATTCTGATGGACTTGTTTTTGCCCAAAATGAGCTGTTATAATTAATTATCTGCTATCTGGCATTTTATCAACAAATACCATCCATTAGCTAACATTTTCACTGCAAGATCAATGATAATTAATTATCACAGTGATAACCTGTGGCACTAAAAGATTTTGAAATCACTTCAAAATGCAGAGTGAGAGAAAGAGAACAAGAGACATCCAGAGAGATCAAATCATGCTCAGCACAGTTGTAATGTGAGGGTAGGAAGCATGGCTTCTGTAGTGTCCTCAAAACCCCCACCCCACTCATAGAAATGCCCCAGATGACTTCTAATGGGGCTCTCATGTAATATCTGGAAAATTACATATTTTAGAACTAGCAGAATCTTTTCAAGCATGTGTCCATCTTCACCCTACAGTCAGTGCCCCATCAGGCATTGATCGGGAGAGAGGTGGAGCAAATACACCTAACCCTGGCAGGGACAACACAGCAGCCACCACCATGATATTTAGTAACCTTCACATTCAAAGGAAATGAGAGTTTAAAAATAAAATATAAAAAAGGGGGGCAGGGGATGAAGCACCCCTGGGTTCCATTTCCAGTACCAAAATAAACAGGATGAAATAATAATAGGAAATGACCTCCCTTTCCTTGATTCTATAACTTTTTAGAAAGATAAAAATATTTTCTGAAATATGTCCTGGCAATATTTTAATTTAAAAAGAAATGAAAACAAAATAAAACAAACCCAACATAAAACTCTTCTTCCAGATTTTCATTTTTATTGCTTAAAAATTGTTAATTTCAGTAACAAGGTTAGTGTTCCATCTGGTACATGGTAGAAATTCAAGGCATTTTTTTCTATGTGTTTGTTTGAGAAGACAAAGTGAGAAAAGATCGTTACATACAGCCAATTTTTTTTTTTTTTTAAGTGCCTGGATGAGTGCCTTTCCAATTTGAAAACTTTCTCTTTTTCTGGATTTGGGTCTGCTGTTGGAACTCTGCACAGCCTGCCTCATTGCTGACAGACCCTGTGCTACAATGTGCACAGCTGGCCCTTGGGACCACAGCAATGGAACCATTTATGAAACTCTCTCCCAATTTGGTGCATCAAATGGGTATACTGATTTGGACAAGTTACATTCTTAAAGCTGATGAGATGGCTGTTAACAAAGCAAATTCAGTGCGAGCAGTGAGCCTTGGGGTGTTGGCAGTAGATGCTAAGAGATACTACTACATGCCAAGCTGGTATCCATAGGAACAGCTCATGCCCCAGAAGATTGTGATAGGTACTACCAGGGTTAACTAGGCACTCTTTGAAAAGCTCACTGGACAAAATGTAATCATGTGCTTGATTTCTTTCAAGCCAGCTTCTAAGGAGTCAAGAAGATACATTCCCAGTGTAGAGTCCAAATAAAAGAAAAGGAAAGCCAAAAACTATGATGGAGGGAAATGAACAGACTGGTCAAAAGCAAATGTACAAGGAAAGAAAATAAACAGAAAGGAAGAAGGGACACATGTTAGACAATGACCTGAGCTCAGGATCTTCCCCAGTGATACAAAAGCATTTGGGGAGTTTCCACTGCAAGGGGCTTCAACACCAGCTTGGAGCAACCCCCTCTGTCTCTAGTGCAAAGCAGGCATCAAAGACAGCTCCCCACACAAGAGGAAACTGAGTTGCCTCCATTTTGATCACCAGCACCATGCAGTAGACCTGAGACATAATTATCTATAAACAGATTGGCTCAGGGTGTGGAAGTGGTTTTTCAGACCTAATCTCTGAGGACTAAAGGCCTAGTAGTAGCTACAAGCTTTGTAGAATTTGGGGTCTCCAAAGGCTAAGAGGAAATGCTGGATGAGCAACTCTCATTGTCAACTTTAATGAGAACTTGGGAACCAATTTTTGTATCGTTTGTTTTTAAACTGTAATGATAGCCAAATTTGGATGTTGTAAGACTCATTTGCTGATAAATCTAACCAGATGAACTCAACTAACTGTAAGAATAAGTTCTGCTTTACTTTTTTGTTGGTGTGATTCTAAATAAAGCAAAATGGGGGTTTTGTACCTTCGAAATGTGCATGTGTGCACAAGTCAGTGTGCCACATGTCATTCAACATGTTAACTCTGTACATAGTCACAATTCTCCAAATGTTTTTGTTCTTCAAACCTGTCTTCTAAAACACATACAAACAAGAAAATACTCTTAAATAAAATCAACATTATTTTACTATAGCCTATCATTTCCTTTTTTAAAATTTTGGGGGATTTCTTTGCAAGTTAATAATCAGTAGAGGGCAATTTTTTTCACGTGGAAAATTTTTTTCACGTGGAAAATTTTTTTCACGTGGAAAGGAGCAATTTCATCATTTACTTTTTTTTTTAAAGGCTTCTTTTCCTTCAATGAAAAACCTTTGTAGAAATAACTTAGGAAAGGAAAAAAAAAAAAATCCTGGTCAAGTAGACTTTTCAGACAGCTCCTTTACTGCCCTCTAAGGTTCAAGAAAAATATGACAACTCTACGTTGCAGACAGTATTTTATTCAATTGAAATAATCTTGCTTCATTTTAAGAAAAGACCTCATTCTGGAAAACGTGTTCTGTGTGAACTGTAGACACAAACCTAGATGGTATACCTCAGTCACTCCATGTGGCCCCTTGATAAAAATCAAGAGGCCCAGTAAGCACCAGCTGTATGAAGCAGCTACTGCTATAACATGGCATACTTTCCTTATAGAAAGACTACTCACCACCACTGTAACGATAAGCGTGGTATAGTAAATACACAGTATACAGTAAATACACATATCAGTAATACCATTGCTCATTATCATTATTAAATACTACATACTACATGTAATTACACGTGCCATACTGTCATATGGCTGGCAGCACAGTAGGTGTGCCTACATTGGTCTTACTGCAAACATGGGACAAATACATTGTACCACAACTTTCCAAGGCTACAACTAAGCAATACAAATTTTTCAACTCCATTAATCTCATGGGACCACAATCATATACACAACTTGTTACTGACCAAAATGTTGTTATTTTGGTCAGTAAATGCACCAGAATCCTTAAAACTCCATAAAGTATTGGGTGCATTAGTTTATGGTTTCAACACATTGTGATCAGCTCTGTCTGCTAAAATGTAAGGGCTCCATGTTCAAAAGCTGGGACAGAATGAGAACTAAAAGGTAGATATTCATTTTATCCCTGATGCCCCTGTTAGTAAGTGGGTCCCTATTATTCTCATTTTACTATACAACTAAACATATAGCAGCCAGATTTTCAAGTTTTGAAAATAATCACTGCTTTAGGGATATTCATAATTTGTGTTATGTGAAGGGTTTTTTTTTTTTTTGCTTCCTATGATTATGACAAAAAAAGTATTACTACAAAAACATGAAGAACAGAATTGGCAATACTGCGAATGTCTACTAAGAAATATGTAAAACTGTAACTCAGAGACTGCCTTGTGAGCCCATTTTAATAATGTACCATGGAAAGAGCAAGACCTGGGGTCTGGCATCTGGTCAGACTCTCAGAACCTGAAGACTGAGAGTGTTGTTTAGGAGAAAAAACAAGATAATAACAAAAAGTGGGCCTACGGAAGGATGAGCCAGGGGAGGTTAGGTCCTGGGAAGAAATGCAATAGGGAAGGTTCACTGAGCTCCTATTATGAACTAAACAACTTTGCTTGTTCCTGATAAACATATAAGGTATGATTTCCATTCTGCTGATGAGAAAAAAATTGAACTTCAGAAGAGACAGATAATTTGGTCCAGTCCTACATGTTGCCAGGGGTGGAGGCAAGGGCAGAAAGAAGCAGCAAATGCAGGAGGCCCTGTTTCTCTTGCACTTCTCAATCCAGCAGCCAAGTAACCTCTGGGCCCTGCCAGGAGAGCTAGCAGGAGAGATGAAGTATGAGAGGGACAAACTGTAAAGGACCAGAAGGAGGGATTAAAGGTAATTACAATTTCAAAGAGTCTTCCTGGTGACACACTGAAAAGCCATAGGGAAGCAGTTAGTTACAAGAGCATTTTTGGCTAAATTCCAGAATCAAGGACCAGGTGTTGAAAGTAAAAAAAATTAAAAACAAGTATCCCCTCTGGGAGCCTTTAATCATTAGGACAGCGCTTTTAATTTTAGCTGTGCATCTGTGGTTGATTTGGACCAGCAGGTTTAGGTCCTGGGGTTTCTTATCATCACTTGGGAATTGTTTTAAATGTAAATTCTCAGCACTCTTCCTGACTCCCAGACCCACTACATAAGAGCATCTTGGGATGGGACTCAGAAATGTCTTTTTAACAAGCCTTGCCAGAGGTTCAGATGCATGCTCCAGTTAGATAACTAGGTTTTGATCAGTTCTTTAATTCGGTGAGCATATGATCTAGGTAACGTTTACTATCAGGCAAGTTTGAAAAGCCCTGTTTTAGAAAGCAAAAGGAAACTTTACAATTGGCTCAATGAAAAATGTTCCCTTCCTCTAAAAAAAAAAAAAAGCTGTGGTCATTCAGACTCTCTCCTCATTTTAGTCGTGGAGTCATTGAAATTAGGACAAGTAGAGCACCAAGTTCCATAATCCTGGAAGGTATGATTTCCTGACTCTGGATGGAGTAATAGAAATGGGAGGTTGAAGAAGTTAGAGCAACTTGGAAGAGTAAAGAGAAAACTACTAGAATAATCTCTGCATTTCAGTTCTAGAAGTTGAGCATTGTATAGGATATTTCTCCAGGATTATAGAAGTGGAGCTGGATGAATTCCTTAAATTTGTATTTCATGATCAAATAGAGCTCCTAAGGATTACAGATTGAGACCGTAAATACTTAGCCCTTTTAATTTCCTGGTTTTGCAAGGACTTTATAAAAGCTATTAATTTTATCCCCAACACAATCTCCCAGGACAGGTATGATTATTCCATTTCACAGGTAAGAAGACTGAGGCTCTCCAGCTAAGTGCTCAGTCATGTCAAATATCCAAACAGACTATCTCTGTCCCTGTATTTTACTTCAAATTCAAGAAGCCTATAATATCTCTTTGAGGCCATAAAAATACATCACATTTAGTTTTATATCTCTGATAATATCTAATAAAATATCCAGAAAACTATGTAATAGGTTTCTTGACAAAATCATGTTGTATTTAATTTCATGAGTTGTAACTGGAGAAGAGAAAGCAGAACACTCATGCACTGAAATGTACTTGCATTATTTTGGGATACTAATTCACTTTTTAATTTATGTCCTTATAAAAATGACAATAGTCTGTGTGGCAGATGTACCCTGAAGTTCACCAAAGATTCATTTTGCCTCCTCCATAAGACAAAATTTTTGCTGGATTTGGTTGTACAATCAGAGACCACATTTCCTAGATACTCTACCCAGGACAACGTGACTAGTCCTTGATAATGGAGGAAAAGTAGAAACAGTGACTGTGAGGTCTGGGGTAAGGTGGATGAGAAGCAAATGTCCCTTTACCTTCAATTTCCTCCTCTCCTAAATACACAGGATCCTATGAGATGGTAGAACAACATGGTAGAGGGAATTTGAAATTCTGGTCCACTAGGGAAAATAAAGTCCACCATAGTAGACAGAAAAGTTACATGGGTAAGAAGCTAGGGTGAGAAACTTGTTAATTTCTGCAATGTGGGAGTTTGTTACTAACCTCATCAGTGCATTTCATTTCCTTACTGTGATGAAAGTTGTTTGCTTATTTTTGTTTTTGGGTTTTTTTTTTTTTTTTTTTTGAGATGTTTTTCAAGAATAATTTCCATGTTTGGGAAAATAAAGATTCTATTTGACTTTGTGAGCTAAGTTTTTCACTCATGGATTTTGAAGAGGGTAAGTGGATTTTGACTCTCCTAGCTCCCCTGAAGGAGAATACTTATTACCATGAGTGTACTATTTGGACTGTAGCTCAGATTATTGGTAAGCATCAAGATATCTAGCCAGGTAGATCTGGATCCAGTCCTAAGCTCTTCCATTGCTAAAATGTGTGAGCATAATTAAATTACTGAGCATTTGTCCTCCCCAATGAGAGTTAAAATTTTCTATGCTCTAAGATTATTATGAGGATTAAACTTAATATTTGTTACTATGTAAATGTAAATTCATATTTGCAAATTAATAGCTGTAAATGTATAGCACATAGCTGGCATTAAGAGCTGATAGAATTTCAAAATAAGCTTCCCAGAGAAAATTATACTCTTCTATCTTAATGGCTTTAGGATTCGTCACATGACTTATTTTAATCAATGAAATATGAATGGAAAAGATGTGTTGTTTGCAAATTGAAGACTGATCCTTTTTTTTCCTGACATAATGATTGACAGTATTCTAGCAAGAGTTTGCCCCACTCTTCTGGATCCTGAAATGAAGATAACTCGGAACGAAGCCAGGGTTACAGCACAATGGAGCAAATGTTAAACATGTTATAAGACATGGGGATTGGAAGACTTTGTTATTGCAGCATAACCCAGGTTTTCTGACAAATGTATCAAACATATGTTTCTCATTCAGGGAATACAGGAAAATTCTTCACATTGTCTAACTCTCCACGTAAAACTGGGGTGTCCCCTCTATTTCCTGTCCTTTCCTCCTCACCTCTGACAAATGACTACTAATTAAAATAATGTAGGCTCTGTCCTTTCTCTTCTTCCTCAAGAAGATCTAAAACTTTGGAAGAAATGCAGAGAATTAAGTAGTTTCTGATGGTAATTGAAAATATATTTTTTTAATTAAGCAAGTATCTGGATTTCTATGTTTTCCTTTGCTAGTTAAGAGTTAAGAATTAGAAATAGGGGCATAAATTCAACTTCTACCACTTTGTTACAATGTATAATGGTAATGAGCACAAAATGAAACCTAGGGTTGAGAGCTTCATGCTTCCTAGTGAAATCAGAGAGCATTTTCAGGAGTCATGTGGGAGGCTACAGAGAAGAGCAAGGATTCTAAACAGTGCTATGGAATATCAGAATTTGATGAAGAATTAACATGTGTGTAGAATAATTCTAAATTTATCAAATGGGGGAAGTCTAGGGTAAAAACGCTGATTTTAATTGTCTTTTTTTCCATGAATTATATCAATGTGAAATATTCACCTTCATTTTTTCTTTAGGAGCAGGCAAGCTGGAAAAAATGAGTGCCACTGAGAATTCTGTCAATTACTCTCACATTTCCATTATTATTATTTTTGTTTTTGAAATTGCCTTGGTATACCTAACAGT